TCTAAAAAAATACAGGTAAACTCACGGACCATATATCTCATGATAAAAAATGACCAAAAAAAATTCCTGCTTTTCTTTATATATATATATTTTTATTTTCTTTAATTGCAATTTCGTTTTTGATTTTTTTTAAATCCTAAATAAAGTCGGATTCAAAAAAAAAAAAAAAGGGGTTGTAGGGCTCAAAATTCCCTACAACCCCATATATATATATATATTTACCTATTATTTAATTCAGGAAAATTCGTGTAAAATCGGGTCCGCGGTGCGGACCAGGTAGGACGCGGGTGTTTCCCTGCCGCCGAGTCCCAGATGATAGCAATTGTCTTTTCTGTTCGCACCAGTAGTTCCGTTTTCTCTAGTGTCCATGAGCGGTGGGAAAGGCCGGTTGATTGGATCGATATGCCCCTTAATATGTCCGGGGAATCGACGATCCCCCTCCCGAGTCACGTTCCCGCGGAACTTCGGAAGTCGTTAATCTGTGTATTGAATGGTTACGCAGAAGTGCTGAGCGTGCATGACAATGATATTGGGTTAACCAACGTAATTGAACATGCCATTCTCACGGGAGATCATCCTCCCATTAGCTGCGCTCCCTACCGATACTCGCCAGCTCAACGAGCGGCCGCCTTTCAGCGGATTAAGGAGTTCGAAGCTAATGGATGGATCGAACCCGCTATAGGACCATGGTCTTTTCCTGTAGTGATAGTACCCAAGAAGGCTGTGGGGATTCGCATTTGCATTGATTATTGAAAGCTGAATAATATCACGATTAATGATATGTATCCCCTCCCCCGGATTGATGAGTTATTGGATACGATTGGAAGTGCTCGATTTTTCAGCAAGTTTGATGTTCGTCATGGGTTCCATCATCTTCTTGTCCGAGAGGAAGATCGACCGAAAACAGCGTTTGTGCTTTTCGAAGGCACGTGGCAATGGATTCGATGTCTGATGGGTATCTGGAATGCCTGCATGCGTTACGAGATGCAGGTTTCAAGGTGGCGCTATAGAAGTGTCATTTTTCCTCACCACCATTTCTTTCGTGGGGCACGTGGTGACAGATAAGGGACTCCAACCGGAGCCGCAAAAGGTGGCAGCTGTCAGGGACGCATCAGTGCCTACCACTATCACGCAAGTTCGCGCCTTTCTGGGCCTAGCCTCGTATTACCGAAGATTTATCAAGGGCTTCGCGGTGATTGCGGGACCCCTCACAAATCTCCTGCGCAAGGATCAGCCGTTGATCTGGACGTCGGAGTGCGATCAAGCGTTTTCCAAACTCAAGGCTGCTCTCATTTCGGCTCTGGTCCTGATAAGACCGGATCCCGAAAAGCCTTTTGTTCTCATCACCGACTGGCAGCCAGAGGCGATTTTGGCGATCCTTGCCAGGTGGGACCAAGCGGACTCGAGAGTGTGGTGGAGTATGCATCCAAATCAGTACCCGCCTGCAAGCGCAACTACTCCGCTCCGACGGGAGAATGCTATGCGGCTCTCTGGGGAATCAGTCACTTTCGTGCTTACCTGTATGGGCGAAAGTTCACCCTGGTGACTGATCATGAGCCCCTTTTGGCTCTGAAGAAGTCGAAGGATTACTCGGGCATGATTGGGCGATGGGCAACGGTGCTGCAGAGCATGGACTTTGACAGCCGTCATCGGAAGCACGAGAGACATGGGAATGCGGATGGATTGACAGGACTGCACCGACCTGAGAAAGTTCCGAGGAATGAGGAGGTGATTCCGTAGAACGAACCCGAGCAGAAGATTGGACCTCGGTACGGCCAAGTGGAGATTTTGTCGAAGCAGTAAGTGACACGAGGACTAATTTGCCTGCTCTACTCTCTCCACAATTCAGTCCCGTCTCTCCCCTTCTGCCATCATGACTACCCCGCCTGCCTCAACAACCCCTTCTTCTCCTACTAATTCTGCCCCTCTTACTTCCTTGGCTTTCTTCGACACCCTCCCCGATAAATTTTGCTATTTTTGCACCTGTATTGCACAGGTTTACGGGGTCGACTGTCATCCCTTCGAGACCGGATTTGTCGATTGGGTGGAATGTGCCACGTGTGTCAATCGTGCGCACGGAGCCTGCGTTCGATATCGAAGGAGTAGCAAGGAATGGAGGTGCCCCCTATGTAGAACGAACAAACTCGTCACGGAGGTTCGATTCGAGGCCGCCCATACGGACGATCTTGAATGCGACGAAAAATACCGACGGGCGGAAGTCTGGACGGATAAAATTTTATTGGCGAAATTAGCGGGATTATCATTGGGCCATCTCACCAAACACGAAAGACGTAGGGCGACCGAGAGATCTCGGGACTATCGACGGAACAACGGTCATTTGGAAAAGCGTAAAACTGACGGATCGGGTTCGTGGCTGACAGTTCCCCATCCCTTCCAGAGATACGATTGGATTCGATCTGCTCACGAGGAACAGGCCGCTCATTTCGCGATACGTGTCATGGAGGCAACTATAGATCAGAACCGATGGTTCTGGTCCAATATACGAGATGATGTCAAATACATTGTCGCTAATTGTCTGGTCTGTGCCGCTGATCGCGCCCTTATACGGGGACCAAACACGATCGTGCCAACGGAAGTAGAGCGTCCTTTCCAGCGAGTCAGTATGGACACGACAGATATTGACGTGCCACCTGACCCAAATCGCTGTGAATATTTTATCCTGTTAGTATTAATAGATCATTTTTCCAAGTACATCGAGGTCTATCCCTGTAAGACCCGAAAAGCCGCAGAAATAGCCACGTACATCGAACGGTTCCTCTATACCCATCTAGATACTGAAGAAATTCTAACAGATAATGGATCTGAATTTAAAGGTGAGGTAGAAGAACTACTTGCGCGAAGGGGCATCACGCTCCGACATACGGCACCCCACGTATCCCAGACGAACGGGTTGGCCGAGAATGCCAACCGTAAACCGCCTTCGCAAGAACTTAGCGGCACACGACACGCGTCCGTGGCCCGAGATCGTATATCAGATCGCCGGCATCCACCGGGCCACTCCTCACGAGTCTACGGGGTTCACCCCCTTTCAGCTTCGAACTAATAGCCTCCCCTGTGTCGATTACTGGGGTAACTCGGAAATTGCCGAAGCAGGGGGTAGAGACATGCGTGCAGCCCTCAAGGCCAAGGCCAAAAGGTACATCGATTTGATGGAACGAATCGTCCCGAAGCTAGCCCGAAAAAGGCAAAGGATGACCGAGTTGGCCCACGGTAGACAGGTCCGTAGCTACGAGGCCCGGAATGGAAACGCTGGGCCCCAGTACAAGTATAAATTGGGGGACCTAGTGCAGGTACATAAATGTGCACGCGATCGGAAACTCGCTCCCAAGTTCTCTGGCTGTTTTCGCGTTGTCGAACTCGGACCCAACGGCGCTAACACGGTGCGCATCGCGCCTGAGGCTAGCGCCACTCCGTCCCCATCGTCAGACATACCTCCTACCTCCGTCTCCTTCCTCCTTCCGATTTTCCTCCCTCTTCTTCCTTGGAAAGCGAGGAAAACGACGACGATCTAACCCTCTCCCCTCTTTCTCCCTCTTGTCCCTCGTCCTCCTCTCCAACCTCGCCATGAGTTTCATCACGGAGCGGGTTCTCGACGCACAGCTGCGGCAGCCACGTGGCCACATCTCAGAGATCCGGCAAGTTTGTCACCCTCGGCTCAATACGGATCTCCGCCGTTTGATGCGATTCTTCTGCGACGAAGGTATCTGTGCCGCCGCCGCGTTTCGGATAGAAGGAARCCCTCACGYGATAGTGTTCGCGRAGGTTACTGCAGTTCATCGRCGAGCGGGTCCCAAAACGAGCCACGTCACCACAGTGGCGGCATTCACCGGCGACATCAGCTCGGTCAATCCGCTGTGGCATACCGCGATCTTGGCCTCGCTGCGCGAGTGGACGGAGCAAGTGTCCAACGTGTGGCAGCACGTCCTCGCCCGGGAGGGGTATAACATCATCCTGATCTTTGCATCAGACCTTGACGGCATTCGCCAATCACCGCGCGAGCGGCCAGTTGCGATCCCAACCCTCGTCCCCTTCCCCCATCCCCAATGAACCACGCCAATTTTCTCGCCCCTCTCTCTATCTTTGCTCTCCCCTCTCTCTTCCCCACCTTCTGGCAATCCGATCTCCACCCTTCTCTCTCCTTCTCGTTCGAATCTCTTTCGGTCCCTCTTATCAATCTTGGACATTGGCGGCTTTGGCGCGAGACTTTTGAGGAGTTGTCCTTCTGCCTAACCCGAGTACAAGTGAAGTGGACGGGCACTATTGAGCACGCCACGTGGATCGAGAATCCGGAGCTGCTGATCATACAGGGTTGGAGGACTAACGCGGAAGGAGATCTTACTGGATTCCTCTTTGGATCAGTACGACCGGGTCGCCGTCAGTTGATTGCACAGGAGCTCATCGCACCGATCGTGCAATCAGACGATCTCTCGCCCGACATCTACTTTCAGAGTGACAACAGTCCTGCTCCGTACATTTTCGAGCGATCCTTGGAACCGTACCTTCAGTGGACTTCGTGCTTGGAGGAACCTAGGGACGAGGATACGCTACCATCGCGGCAGGAGTATCTGAAGCCGTACGAGATCATCCCTCACGCCTTCTACCCGAGGGCAGAAGAAGTGGTGATTGACGACGACGATGACGAAGAAGAAGACGACGAGGAGACATCGGAGGAGGGAAGCTATAGTGAACATAGTGAGGGCGAGCTGAGTGAGGAGGAAGAGGAAGAAGAAGGAACCGGGTCCGAGTGGGAAGCCCCACCGGAGGAAGCGACGCGTACGGGAGCGGAGACGGAAGATCCGGAAGCGGCGCGAAAGCGCGAAGAGATTGCCTCCGGAAAGCGCCAGCTGGAGTTCGCTAGCGAGGCTAGCCTGCGCATCGAGAGCGATCCGACCAGGGATCCAGAGCCGCCGAGGCCCGAAGATGGCGACCCTGCAGCCGCCACCTCAAGTACCGCGCGACGGAGACGGCGCCGATCCCCCTCCTACTCCAGCCCCACCCGTCCCCCAGTTCGCCCACGTACCAATGCGGGCGATAGGCCTTCGACCTCAGATGCTGTCCCGCCGACCCCTTGATTTTCTCACCCTCGAGCAGATCCGTACCCCTGTCACCTTCCCTTCCCATCCTTTCCATCCCCATCTCTTCCGCGACTTCTACTCTACCCGTCTACTCGCCACCGTCCACCCCCACGCCTCCCTTCAGTCTGCTGCTCCCACGTTCTGCTGGCATCTCCTGCTGTTCAGTGCTGCATGGGAGCAATGCAACGTGGTAGAAGTTTACTGCATCGCCACAGGGACAATCCTCGCTTGCCGCCACTTCGAGATCTTTCGAGCGGCGTTTTTCCGTACCCTCTCCTCCTTCTATCGCGACTACCTCGCCTCCCTCCCCCGCAGTGGCGATCATCACCGAATCATCCGATATGAGGAGCTCCTGGTGATGATGGAAGGGATGAATCGCTTCCTACCCCCACTCCCCCCCCGTCATCCCCGCGAGATCCCCGGCATGTACCGCCGCTACTGGCCTATTCCAACTAGGCGGTAGATCCCATTCACTTGAACCCCCCCCCTTTTTTTTCTCTCCTCCCTTCATCGGCACGAATCGGTAAACTTCACGAAGATCACGCCATCTACGATGACGTCAACCTACGCGCTGATTCGACAAACGGCAACGAGCAAGGGTGCAGAGCACACGGAAATCAGGTGGATCATGATGGCGTCACCTGGACGATCTCCACGAGGAAGAGGGTTGCATATGACAGGGCTACAGAGATCTTGCCACGGATGTTGTCGCCATCTCATCCGCGGCCCAGTTATCGTTCCTTGTACTTCTTTCTACTCTGTTGATACGCTTGGTTCCTCATGCATCACTCTGTTCTCCCCTCTTCTTTTTCGCCATGACATGCAATCAGGAGATCGCATAATTTTGGAACCCCCCGCGCGTCACATATGTGACGAACCACTTCCCGACCCCGTGCCATCTTTCGTACCCTTTCTTTTGTTTGTATCATACCAACCCCAGGAAAATCTCGTTTTGAGTTCTTGCTTTCGGGTGCCGCATTTTCCTTTTTGAGAGCTTTTTCGACTGCTGAGTTCTGTTTTTCTTCTTGCAAAGTCGGGAAATACATGGGAATTTACGTGCGCCTTACCGAGCGCACTGGGAATTGGGCTCGGTAGTTGGGAATTCCGGGATAAGCGGAACTTCGACGCGTCCTTTTTGGGTGTGCGAATGTTCTTGGGCGCGTCGGGGAAAACTCTCAGAATTTTGCGTGAATACAAATAGGCGTAGGATTTTCTTTTCCCGCAACGCTTTTTCACGCGCGGATATGGTGATTTCAATTTTGAATTAGGATAGAAGCAAGCTGTAACTGTTTCGGTGCCTTTTTCTTTTTTTTGTTGACGGCGCCGTGCATGCAAAAGCTTCCTCCTCTCGGTCCCCCGCATCGCTCCCTCCCGCACCTCCCTTCCCTTCTCCCTCCTTTTTCTCTCTCCCCGTAACTGTTTTTCCTTCTCCCTCTCTCTCTCTCCCGCCTTGCTTTCGCGCGCCCATTTCCCTTTCTTGATCATCTGAATCTTGGACCCGTCTTGCGCCACCTCTCGCGCCTTTTCTCTTCTCACCCTTTACGTCTGGCGTACGACGCCCGGTCGATCCCCCGATAACTCCCGCTCGCCAATCAGGTGCGTGGATCGATAGGAGCTTCCTATCGCGCGACGAATCTGATTGGTTGAACCTTGAGTTCCGAGGGATCAGCATGGCATTCAAAGAGCACTCTTCTCAAAGTCTTCTCCTCCTGCTTCTCCTCTTACACCTCAGCTTTCCTGTCGCCTTCTCCCCCTTCTATCTCCCCTGTCGCAACTATAAGACCCGCAAGCGCGTCCGCAAATCTCTCTTACGTTCTCGACTCCTAAGCCAGCTTCCGGGAAGCAGTGGCTAGGCAGAGTGGATTGATGCGAGTCGGAAAGTCCTGTCGGGCTGATGATAGGCTGGCCGGTTGCGCGCTTGATCGCCACGACGGACTGTGGGATCCGGGCGAACCGTGTCGAGTTTACCGCAGCGGGGTGATGATCGCAGTGGTGGGAGTTAGCACGCGACGGTCGGGATCGTCGGTGTGGGTATGAGGTTCGATGATTGGAGTTGAGTGAGTGATTGGCTCGGGGTCATAGTGGAATTAACGACGAATGCGCCTTTGTTGCGGATTGTTATCCTTGGCGTGAGTGTAAGGCAGCGACGCCGAACTTTTCTCTTTTCGGACCTTGTCGTCTTCTATTTTGACTCTCTCTCTCTCTCTCTCCCTCTCTCTCTCTCTCTCCTCTCGAATGATGATGTGTCTGAATGATTGTCCCGCTCTTGAATGGAAATGAGTCGGCATTCTGTGTGAAAGAACTTCTTCCGGAACTCTTCCATTAGTTTCCTGGGTAACCCTCCTATGCAAGGACCCTGACTTCTTGTCTTGTGAACGGTGGATGCGTGTGTACTGAGTAATGCGGTCCATTTTTTTCCTGTGCATGTCTCATTTTCGCACCTTCCACAGTGAATGCATGTATGGAATGTGTGACTCTTTTGTTGATTAGACGATTGTCGTCGGGATTTTGTTCGAGAATGCAAGAGTGTTTAGATCTGTAGCTCTGTTTGCACTGCACATGCCATCTGCCTTATGCTGCACGACATCAGTAGCCGAGCCACGAGGCGGCCCTGAGAAACAAGGCACCCAGGGACCAACGTTGTGTTGAACTGATCGGACCCGTAGCCATATGCGTGATCAAGCTGATCTGTATTTGCTCTCTCTCTCTCTTGTGTCAAAAAGATTGATCGGGGGACGCGCGAATCTCTTTTGTTCCTGTCTCTTATACACATCTAGAAGTGTATAAGAGACAGGCCTTATGCTGCACGACATCAGTAGCCGAGCCACGAGGCGGCCCTGAGAAACAAGGCACCCAGGGACCAACGTTGTGTTGAACTGATCGGACCCGTAGCCATATGCGTGATCAAGCTGATCTGTATTTGCTCTCTCTCTCTCTTGTGTCAAAAAGATTGATCGGGGGACGCGCGAATCTCTTTTGTTCTTAATGACGTCTCAGGATATTTTGTGATTGATTGACATGTGGACTGACAAGTACCCTTCGATTGGGCGCCADYCTCYCRTATCTCYCATCCCAACGCGACCTTTTCCTTACAGTGAGGAAAGGACACGTGTATGTGAGTGGGACGTACGAGAAGCCGTTGCACAAATCGGCGGGCAGTATTACTTCCCTCCGGCCAACCGCTGTTCTGGGTTCGTAGAAGCCGGGTTTGTTATTATCCATACACATTTCCCACCTTACTCGGTATTGTTGCCATTTAACGAGTTGATCGTCATTCCGTGGACAGTAGTAGAACCCCACTGGCCGCGCACTCTGTGCACCGAATGTCAGCGTTTTGAGCGCTATGAGACTTGGGGTTTCCACTACTGTGTGCGGAGTGAAGACGAGCATAAAGAAAAAGCCACGCGACTAGGACCCTCCACGTCCGACTCGGAACTAACCAGCGAACGACGACGAGACTTGATACGAAAACGGGACACGCGAAGCGTGCCCAAGCCTTTCTGTTCTAAACGACGGGCTGTAGCCCGGTGGGAGGCACGACAATACTTTTTGGATTGAATATGGATGTTTCCCTCTCTTCCCGCCTTGCCCGCGCGCGCATTCCGCGACGCGCGAAAACGATCGACTTGCTCCATTGGACCAACACGGGGGATTTTAGTTCCGTCTGTGTCCCCACACTCAATTTCCAAAAATCCTTGGCACACCCCATCTTGCTGTTTTTCTGGGCCTCTTTTCCGCACAGCTAACACTCCGAACGGAAGACAGCACAGGGCGTGAGGTTGCGTGTCACAGGTGGCCTAGGACTCAGTTATGCAACCTAAGGCCAAGTGGGCTTTGGGGATTATCGACCCGACAACCCAGATGAAGGCCCTGAGTCGGCACTGGGTCAAGACACTAGTCTTCTCCAGCTCATCCCCCTGGCGCCCCCTGGCCTTGGCGCAAATCGCAGCCCTGGCCCCCGAGGTTCCTTCTGAGGTCGACCCCCTCATCTGCTGGAGAACAGGTACTGGAGGATCCTCCTGAAGTGCAGGGACCGGGAACTGGAGCCTTCTTAGGATGTGGAGGAAACTCCTATTCCTAGATAGACGGGCGTTCAACTGATGGGAGGAGGTGGTTGGGCAGTCTTTATTTGGAAATTGTTGGATCACGGACTCCCATGAGAGAGAAAGACTGTGTGTGTGTGTGTGCCCGTGTGTGTGTCCATGTGTGTATCTGTGTGTGCGTGTGTGTGTGTGTGTGTGTGTGTGTGTGTGTGTGTGTGTGTGTGTGTGGTACGTGAGAGCATGTGCGCCATGTATTACGAAGTTCGTTATGGCGAATGCCGTAGCCACCACGACTGAACCTGCCACCGTTTTTCCTTCTTCTTTTTTTTGGAAATACACAAGCCCAGGCCCAAGGCGCAGAGCCTGGGCAAGATTCAGGCCCAGGACACAGTCTCCGCCGTGATAGACCCCTGACTATTCCGGCACTGGCGGCCGGATGAAACATGTAGGGTCGACCGCCAGATGCTCGGACAGGATTCTGACGACAACGAGCATGAGGCTCATTTTCGGTTCGAGCTGATTGGGCTATGCTTTTCTTGAATATCAGTTGACGCCATCGCGTTCGGGAGAATCGTGTGCTGTGTATTATTTGGTTTGGTTGCTCTTCTTCCTCGCTCACTTGGTTGTTTTGCGTTGATTTTGCCTTGTCTCTTCCTTCCCCTGCTGTACTTATCCATGATATCTTGTTGCTTCATTGAAATATAATTGGATGATACTTATCACCAGACTTATCACCAGGACACAGTCTGAGCCTTAACTATTTATTAGAATATATTATCTTGGTTGAATTCCCAGACTTCTTCCTGCCCCCCTCTAACAGCCTAGGAGGAATAGAATGGTACAGGGGAGAGAGATGAAAAGAAAAGAAAAGGAACAGAGAACAGGTGGCCCCCCCAGGAGGGCCAATCTGTGGCAGGAAGACTGACTGGCAGTTGGAGAGGGTGAGAGCAGGTGCAAAACAGGTGCAAAACGGGAGGAAGGGTTTAGGGTTTAAGGGGCTGAAGAGTGCTCAGATTGTATTAAAGACTGTAAGGAGGGATGACAACAGGAATGGTAGCTAGAACTGCTAGACTGCTAGCAATCACAGATAGAGGGGCTGAAAAGGCAGCCCCAGCTCACCAACACACACATCAGTACCCGCACAGTCAATCCCCCAGGAAGACAAGGGTAATCAATGCTGGCGGTCACAAGACAATGATCTA